GAAGGAAGGAAAGGAAAAGGAAATAAGAGGAATACCCACGAGATTTATGCTTATCATATTATTTATTGGAAAAATTATAAACTAAAAATTGCTGTTTAAGCTGGAATTTATATCGCAATGTGGCAAATGCTAGCTACTGATGCTGCCGTTTCTGTTGCTGCTGAGATTTTATAAAATTAAAAAAAAAAGAAGAATATTTCAATTCGTCCAGAATTACCCATCAAATCCATTTTTTTTTTTTAATTTAAATTTTCCCGGAAAAGTTTTTCATTCGTTTTCAATTTATAAAAAAAATTGAAAAATTTTTTCTGAACGGAAAAAGGCCAACAGGAATGCATACAAACAACGAATTCCATATTAATCGATTTGTTTAATGATCGATAAATTAACGATTACGAAATGATTAAATTAATTATTATTAATTAATCGATCGATCGAAAAAAAAAAAAAAAGAAAATAAAAATTGTAATAAATAAATAAATTTCTTTTTTTTTTGTTCGTGAACGGAGAGAGAGAGAGAGAGAGAGACGTGGAACGAGAAAAATAATATTAATTTTTTTTTCACGAAAGATTCTTCGATGATGAGGCAAGCATTTATTTGACAATCCAACTCAGCAATTTTCCAAACACGGTTTTCTACTTTTCTAAAATAATATTAAAAAAAAAATAATAATAATAACGATGAAGAAAATGATCCTTTCACTCTTTTTTTTTTTTAATTTTTTCACGTTTAAATATATTTATGTTTTTCATATTATTTACGCGTACACGCACACGCGCACGCATTCACTCACGCACTCACGCACGCATATTTATTATTAAAGTAGAAGAAACAATTTTTTCAATCCTTTTTGTTTTTTGTTTTTTTAATTTACTTTTTTACAAGTCGGCCATTGTTTCGTAACAAACGGTTTTTCTTTTTCATTCGAATATAAAACAATAATAATAACAATAATAATAATAATAATAATAATAATAATAATAATAATAATAATAATAATAATAATAATGATGATGATAACGATACTAAAACGAGAAAATTTACAGAAAGAAAAACTAAACTTATCGACTTTTATTATTATTTATTTCGGTTAATGACGTCATGAAAAAAAAAAATTATACGAATTGATTAATTTTGCGTAAGAATCAAATCAAATCAATGTGATTTTAAAAAATTTAACAAATGACTGCCGTGTCAATAGAAAAAAAAAATGAAATGATTAATTATCGAGATTTAATAATAATAATTATTTCGTAGAAATTTACGTAATCGTAAATTTTTCTTTTTTTTTTTTTTAAAAAGAATTCGGCACACGCCATTTTTAATTGGAACCAATTTTTCTTTTTTGTTTAAATTCGGGAAGAATATGCTGACACGACAAATTGTGACCTCCTTAAAAAAAAAAAATTAAATTCGTGTGCCAAACGCAAGGGTCAAGTCCTTTAAGTTCAATCCTTTTGTAATTAGAGTAACGTTTAACCGTTATGAGGTCAATTATAAGTAAAAATAAAATTTTTAATTTATTTTCTTTTTTTCTTTTCGATTTCTCGAAATTTTCTTATCGATATTAAATAATCGAGAGTCGTGAAAAAAAATTGTCATCACGCGATCGCGTCTATATATTTTTATTTATATAAAAATCTCGTCGTCTGATGCCACGATTTCTCCCCCCTCCCCTCATTTCCTATCTTTCCTTTTACAAAATTAACAACAACAACAATAACCGAGGAAAAGTTTTTAATTAAATTAAAAGTGTGTGTAACCGATATTATTATTTACACTCATTTATTGCCTTTAAATACGAAAATTTCGTTCTAGATGATATTAATGATAATGATAATGATGATAATAATAATAATAATAACGATTATGTATATTGTATAAAACCATCAATATAAATTTTATTTCTATAATTTTTTTTTTTTTGTAATTTTTTCCTTCGAATGTTTGATAGGTGAATAACTCACAGATTCAGGCATGCACCGGAAACGCGATACGTACTAAAAAATCCACTGCTACCAACTTTTAAAAAAAAAATTTCCCTATTCAAATTTTTCCAATCGAATTTTCATATTGTGAAGGTTCGAAACGTGATAAAGCACGCGGGTTCATCATCGGGAAATTTTTTTTTTTTTTGAAATTTTCTTTTTACACGAGTTTGTTCGTTTGTTAGAAATTTTTTTTTACACGCGTCTGTTTGTTTGTTTGTTACAAATTTTTTAACCAAAAAGGAAAACAAAAAAAATTAAAAAGAGAAAACAAAAAAAAACTGGGAATTTTTTCATTTTTCTCGCACGAAAAGTCAAGTGAATTTTTTTTCGTTGAAGAAAAATAATTGTTTAATGGTTGTCAGCTGCATGAGGGAAAAGAGAGAAAAAGAGAGAGAGAGAGAGAGAGAGAGAGAGACTTGTAGCATGCATTTAAAAAGTAAAAAAAAAAAAAAAAATGTATATATATATATATTTTTTTTTCGCTTAATATTACACGCACGTAATGGCATGTGGAAACTAAGGTCGTCGACAGACCTTTTCTCTCTCCCCTCCCCCCTCTCTCTCTCTCTCTCTCTTTTCTCCCTTCCTTTCTTTCTTTCTTTTTTTTATTTTTTTTCTATAACATTTTCCCCTTTTTACTGTCCTACTCATTCCGATCCATGCAGTTAAGTACTTAATGAAATACCAAAAAGTTTCAAACTTTTCTACGTTTCCTTCTTTGACTATATTTCCCTTTATGAAAAACGGAAAATTTTTCTATATTAACTTTTTCCTTTTTTTTCTTTAAGAAACCTTTTTTGATTTTATTTAATTGTTTCAAATTTATTTTATTAAATAAAAATTTAATTTAATTTCTCCCCTAGTCTTAATCGTACCCCTCTCTCTCTCTCTCTCTCTTTTTACTATTTACATCTCCTCTCTCTTACTTTCCTTCTCTCTCTCTCTATCTTTTCTCACGATTATTTTTAAATTTTATTCACTCATCACTCATATTTTCAATCGTTCACAATTAAAGCAGACGACGTATTAAAAAATAAATAATGCCAACCGTTGAAAAAATTCAACTTAAATATATATTTTGTTATCGTTATCGTTTTCAGATAGATCGCGTGCGTATTAAACAATAAAAAAAAAATTGATAAAAATTCACTCGTACTAAAGTGCATAAGCACTTAACAGCAAAACGAACAAAACCATAGAGTAATACGAGAATAGAGTAACAAATGACATCAGAACATTAAGAAAAAAAAAAAAAAACGAATAATTTTGATGATATATAAAACTTACAAACATAATACATAAGTTTAATAATTGATAAGAGAAATACGATGTATTTGCAGTGAATAAAAAATCAAATAAATAATAATAATGTTATCGTAATAATAAATTGTTGTTCAGGCTCACTATTTTTAACATTAACGAGAATAAATAAACAAGTTACGAGATGAGAGAGAGCCCAAAAGTTTTTTATGATATCTCACATTTTCTCATCATTAAAAAAAAAATCAATCGATATTTTGTTTCGTTCGATTTTTTTTTTTTAAATTCGCGCTTTTTTTTTTTTAAATTTAAAAAACCTTTGATTTGTATCGTTTTTTTTTTTTTTTTTTTTTGAAATCGTTACCAAAATTAAAAAATCTAAACATCATTAATAACGATTAATAAAAAAATAATAATAATAATTTAATCGATCGATTTTTACGAATCAATGAAATCGATTCAATAATAATAATAATGATAATGAATGTTGAAAACGAGTAGGAGGGGAAAAAAAAAAATGTACCAAACGACACACTTAAAAATATAATAATAATTTCTTACCTTTAAGATGGTGTATGTACGTCCTCCCCCCCCCTCCTCCCTGGAGTTCACGGAAAATTTTTTTGTTTTTCCAAAAATCTGAAAAAAAAAAAAAAAAGAAAAAAATTATTTCTATGATTTTGAAAAAAATGTCGTAAACGAATGAAAATGATGACCATTCACGACGAACGTGACGTGACGTGACGTGAATGAATGAAAAATTTCAAATTGTTTACAATTAAAACATAAAAAGTACATATCACGTTTTGATATTGATTAACTATGACGTTAAGGGTTAATGATGCTGCTTCTTCTTCTTCTGATAGTCGAACGGTCGAAGCAGCGATAGGATTATGCCAAAGACACGTTATTACTGTTGTTAAATTTATATATAAAAAAAAAAAAATAGGTCAAAAGTATAAATAATAATAATAATAATATGGAATTGAATTTTTTAAAAGTATTATTTTTCACTTTCGTGCTGTCGGATTTGTCACGGAAAGTTTCACCAGATTTGAGGATATCAATACCAAAATGCTGTCAAATCGGAATCAATTGGAACAAGGAAGGATTGAAATGTTACGATTATGAAAAACCGGTAAGTCGAACTTTCTTCTATCAACTTTTTTTTAATCGAAGCGCGCGGGTTTAACGAGAAGTAGAAAAAAAAATATGGCCGTTCCATATGATAAATACATATATAATTAATTAATCCGATGAATTAATAATTATAATATTAATAATCGATCGATGGATAATTTAATTGATACGAAAAAAAATAATTTATTTTTTTCGGATTTTATGTATCGATTTTATTGATCCGATATCGATTTATCGTTTTTCAATTAGAAATTTTTTTTCGTTTTTTTTTTACAAAACCGAATAGAAAGAAGAAAAAAAAAATTTGTCATTGATCGGATTAAATGATGTGAGTAATTAACTTTAATTTGGGAAAAATTAACTAATTAGTTAAAAAGTTTAAAGACCTAAGAATGCAACAAAAAAATTTATATGCATATGTAATAGTCATGAGTTTGCAAAAAAAAAATATTTTTCTTCTTACTAACAACAAACGTTCGAATGACCTTTTGAGTGATAACCTTTGAGATTTGTGAATTATTATTATTATAAAAAAAAGGTTTAAACGTTTGTTGCAGATATTAGACGTTCCGGATTCGGAGCAGGACGTTTGTTTGAAAACAATACAAATGTGTTGCGAGAAAAATCTAAGGCAAAAATACTGTCGACTCGGAGTCAGAACGTATAAGATAGAAAAAACATGTCCGTCGGAAGAAAATAATAAATTTTTAAACGAATTGGAAGTGAAATGTTGCGTGAGTTGTCATTTAGGAGCACAGCTCGGTGAATTAAAAGTACCCTGCCTATCGATAGATCTTCCAGTCGAAGAAGAAGTTAGGAGAGCCATGTTGAGTTGTTGTTCGGAAATCAATCCGGTACGGAAAATCGATAAAGTTTATAAAAAAACTCGTAATAATTATTCGACGACGGTTCCACCGTTTGCCGATTACGAAGATTATGATAATGTCGGAATACCCACACCCTCTCCGGATAATTTGTGCGATTTGTTACCCGGACAATTATGCGCACAAATTTGCGTACCCACACACGGATCGTACTATTGTAAATGCGAAGAAGGTTTTGTTTTGATGGAAGATCAAAAAACGTGTCAGAAAGAAAATTCTCAACCGCTCGCCAAACAAAAACAAGTGAGCACGATTGCTCCTAGGATCATAGTACCGAATCCGGAAAAACCCGTACCTTTGGTCAAGCCGAAAGTAACGACGTCACCTACGAAATTACCCACGTCTTCCATAGGTACGATATTTACAAATCCGAAAGAAAAAAAAACATGCAGTGATTTTAATCCCTGTGAACAAATATGCGTGGATGATGATGATGATGAAAACGGTGGAGTCAAATGTGAATGCCGATACGGTTTTGTTTTGGATGCAAACGAAAGAAATTGCAGTGACGTAAATGAATGTTTAAATAAAAAAAACACGTGTGATTTACTCACCGAAAAATGCGTTAACGAAATCGGAGGATACACTTGCGTGAAAATTAAAAAACCAAACGTCGTGTCTTTGACTACATTAACAGAAGTTAATTTAACATCGCCGGCGGTAACCAACTTTTCAACTATTACTACTTCCACGACGACGACGACGACAACATACGAACCACCAATGGAACTTGCTGTCGTACCCAAAGATTTTCTAACAGGAGAATGCCCATTGGGATTTGAAGAAATCGATGGAAAATGCACGGATTTAAACGAATGCAATTACGATAGATTTCCGGAAGTTTGCGATTCCGATTTCGAATGCATTAATACACCTGGAAGTTATTTATGCAGGTTAAAATTTTTTTTTTTCCGTTCGTTTTACCTTAAGAAAACAAATAAAAAATTTTTTCAAAAAATTTATTTTCGATTTAGATGTAAAATTGGATTTGAAGAAAATCCAAATACTCATAGGTGCGAGGATGTTAATGAATGTCAGACGAATCAGCACAATTGTCTTGCATCTCAAAGATGTGACAATTCAATCGGTACGTAAATCGATTTACAAAAGGTACCTTAAAAACTTTTACCAAATCAATTTTTTTTCAATTTGTCAGGATCGTTTCGTTGCGTGCGATATACCGGATGTGGAACCGGATACACATTAAATTCTCAAACCGGACAATGCGAAGATGATGACGAATGTTTGCTTAAAACTGATAATTGTAGATTTTTAGGACCGAATTACATATGTCGAAACACGTTGGGTAATTTTTTTTTTTTTTTTAAACTATGTTCAATTTTTCCTTATTAACATTCGAGAGGCAAGCAATATGTTATAGTTGAGTAAAATTTATTAAATTTACCTGACGCAGGATCTTTTAGGTGCGAAAAGAAAAGATGTTTACCCGGTGATTCTACTTGCGATCCGGAAAAACAATGTCCTACGGGATACGTTCAAGGAGAATCTGGAAACTGTGTAGATCTTAATGAATGTGCTACCGGGGCTCATAACTGTCATCCTTTTGCGGATGAATGCATTAACAGAGTTGGAGGTTTCGAATGCAGAAGAGTTATTTTCTGTCCCAAGGGGTGAGTTACTCTTATGTTATCCTTACATATATACATTGTTATATATGTGAATGTTTAAGATTCACACAGAGAGTAATTTATTTTTTGAAGATACGAAGCTACCGCGAACGGATGCATGGACGTTAACGAATGCACTAGCAAAAAACACACTTGCAAAGGTTTGGCAGAATGTAAAAACGAAAGAGGAAGTTATTCGTGCGTTTGCCCGACGGGATACCAACTCGCACCCGATAATTCATGCGAAGACATTAACGAATGCAGTTTCTATTTGTGTCCGTTTAATTCGAAATGCGTAAACACGCCAGGAAGTTACAGATGCGATTGTAATCTAGGATTTAAAAACGTCAATGAAAATACCTGTCAGGATATTGACGAATGTTCAGCGACACCAGGTACGTAAAAATTGTAATTTCAGGTATTAGTTACCATCATGTATCATTATAATTATGCCTAATTTTTTTTTTTTTTTTCACGTCAGGAATTTGCCAACACAATTGCATAAACGTTTTCGGTTCGTTTCGATGCACTTGCAAAACGGGATTCAGACTACACGAAAACAATCGTACCTGCGTCGATTTAAACGAATGCGACATGTTCAAAGATCAAAAATTATGCATAGGAGAATGCGTTAACATACCTGGAAGTTTCACTTGTAGGTGTCCACCGGGATATACCCTAGGCCCGGACGGTCGATCTTGTCAAGATGTTGACGAATGTTTAAGGAATCCCTGTCGAGGTTTGCCTGTTGAAAATATTAAACGTCAAGGGAAAAAAAAAAAAAAAAAATTTCTTTTATTTATTGAAAAACTTACTTTGCGTGCAGGTGAAGATGAAGTATGTTTGAACACGAGAGGAAGTTACCGTTGTAATTCGATTAAATGCCCGCCGAACTACATAAAAGACATGGAACATAAAAATAGATGTAAACGTTTAAAAACTTATTGCAGAGAAAACGATTTAAACTGTTTGGAACAACCCTTGACCTACAGTTTTAATTTCGTCACGTTCGTTTCAATGCTTCCGATACCGCCCATAGGTCACTTAGACTTATTTACGATGAGAGGTCGGTTGCTCTTTTATTTTTCATTTCACCCCATTCTCCATTTTCTTTTTTTCAACAAATTATTTTATTAACATTTAATTTAAAAAAATAACCATTTTTGCAGGTCCGCTTTGGTCCGATACGAATTCACAATTTAATTTAGAATTATTATCGGCGAGAGCCGCACAAAAAGTACAAGCTGCAACAAAAGATAGTTTTCGCTTACGTAATTCCGGATGGAATCAAGGTGTCATATCACTCGTCAAACCAATACCTGGACCGCAGGAAATCGAACTCCAGTTAACAATGAAAATATATCACAATGGAGTTTTTGTAGGTTCCGGCGTTGCCAAATTATTAATTCACATATCGGAATTTGAATTTTAA